TTACATTAGGGTATGTTGTCGCTTTAATTTGCTTTAAAGTTAAAATTTTAATTATCACAGTGGGTTTGTGGATGTGTTTTATTGATATGGAAAGCTAACAAGATTAACGAGATATTTGAAATGTCAGATGCTGAAGAAGAGGTCTACAGCTTTGGGTGTTGGAAAGGGTAACAGAAATAATGGGTTAAGAAAGGAGGAGGATGAAGAAAAAGAGGAGGAAAGATTGTTGAAAGGGAGAGGGAAGTGCTGGGTGCAAAAGGGTTGGAACAGAGATGAATGGGCAACAACAACCAATATATCATCGATAATGCCTATTGTTTTCTCACTTCGTCATTTTTTTCTCATCCAACTTTTATAACTGTTAAGCAATTACTGTTTTTTTTCATTGATATTCTTCTGGTCTTTTTTTTTACTTTTTAATTTCTTCCAGAAATTGATTAAACTTAAACTAAAATCATTCAAAAAAAACATGAACAGTTATCTGGAAAACATTATAAACTTGTTGCTTTCATATATATTTTTTGTGATATTTTGTGTATTTATTTGTATTCCTGTGTGCAACCCTGTTGCTGTCTAATTTATTGTAACAACCGAAAACATCTGTTCAGATGATGATACTGCAGATGGTGGTGACGGTGCTGTGGATGATGATGGTGATGATGATAATGGTGCTGATGAACTTATGTAATCAATACATCCAATCCACCCTGGCAATATAGACTTCTTTAAAATCTTTTTTTATACGTTACATTCTGATAAACTGATCGTTAACATCAACCAACAACAAGAACAGAAACGAGTAATATGATATTGGTGCTTTATCCGGCACCTCTGTTTCACGGTTGCTGTTATAAATTTTTTTTATTACAGTAACAGATTAAATGACAATCTAATTAAAAGTTCGTTTTCTTCTATTTTTTGTTGGGGAGTGTGACGATCGAATGTTTGATAGTGTACGAACGGATTTAGAAAGTGACAGAAGAAAGCAATCTGATCTTGGCCTTCAAAAATTGACAGACCATTTCTGTTGCTGATATTGAGATCAGTTTTACCTGTAACATATACTGTGATGCAAAAGTTTCTGTTACGTAACTCTTGGTGTATTTTACAATATGAAATTTTTTAAAATCATTTTTGTTATTATTTTGTTATTATTTATTGTTCTTTGTTCTTCTTTTTAAGTTCAGAAAATATCTGTTACTGTGAATGACGACAGTAATAACCAAATGTTGCTGACAAAATGAGAGACTGAAAGAACACTCTGCAATATTACTGCCGTTGTTGCTGCAAAATGATGTCGATCGAAGAAGGGAGAAAAAAGAAGTACTGAACATTGGCAGAAGTAGCAGCAATAGCAGCAGCAGCAGTATTTTTAGCGATTCTGTTTCTCGTCAACTATACTTCCTCCAGTTAACAGTCTGTAATATATAACTCATTTATGGAAGTTGTTCTTTTGGTACAACAAAACGAAAGAAATGAGAGAATAAAGTAAAGAAAAAAAAAAATTTGTTAAACTGTTGTTAGGAGCAACTAGAAATTTTTTTTCAAGAGGGGAAGGGGTAGAACTCTTGGGATTAGAGTAATTTGGACAGGATTTGTAGCACCAATTTCTGGTTTTAATAGCTGAAAACGAAAGCAAAAAAAAAAAAGGAGGGGAAGGGGGGAGGAGAAGAAAGAAAGAAAAAAAATAAGTTGGAACAAAGATTAAAACGATTTCAATAGTCTATTAGCAAACAAATAAAAAAATATAAACTTTTTTCTTGAACAAAAAAAAAAAGATATCGTTTTTTTTTAATGTCTCTTATGTTTTTTCTTTTTTTTTTTCAGCTAAATTTTGATTTACTTTAGAGTAATAAAAAAAATTTTTTTGTGGGTTTTTTGATCTTAAAAAAAATAAAAAAAAAACTAAATTTTTTTTTTTTGATTTATTGATATGTATATTTTGAAAAAGCAGGAAAAAAAAGAAGTAATAGAAAAGGAAAGGTACGGAATAAATAAGAAAGTTTCTGCTAAATAACCTATTTGTTCTTCTTTTGTTTTCAAGCGATCATTAAGAGAATATGTCGTGAGACTGTAGGGTTGTTGTTGGATTACTGAAACTTAATCCTAAAAGTCGACCAGTTTGAGGTTCAGCAATGTTTTTGACAAAGGTTTTTTTTTGCTGTTATTGTCATTGTTACCATTGGCATCTGTTCTAATGAACGATGAGCTATCGCAAACTGTACAAGCCGTAAATTCTACGATTAGTGTAACATATGACTTAACAGCTTTTTACTGTTGTTTTTCTGTCATAAGTTCCTTTCTAAGAGAAAAAAATTCATTTTTTTTGGATTAAAAATTAGTAAAACTAAATAAAATTAATACGAACAAAAAGGATAAAGAAAGGGAAAGGGAGTGGAAAAATTTTGCTGAATCAATGGAGAAGAAAAATGAGATGAAGTTTACAAATGTGAAGATAACAGAACACCATAAGGCGGTAATAACGGCCAAAATTAACACCGAAAATCCAAAACACTTCACCGGTTGTTCAACGGTTGGATAGAATTGGCAAGAGGATATTTGGCTGGTCAATTGGTTGTTGTTGTTGCTGCTATTTGGTTCAGTCAGTTTTAGCCGATCCCAACCGAGAACGCCAACAGCGATTGTGGGTCGTTGCTACCGCTGGCATAGTTGCAATATCGGTGGCCAAAAAGCCTTAAAATTCTCCGTGAATTATTCGTTGTCAGTATCTGTGATCGTTGTATGTTTAACTATAACAGAATCCTAACACAAATTACCTCGGCTATCGATAGTGCGATATATGGCAACGGATAAGCGCAACTGTGATCGCTGTAGTAACACTGCTGTTTACGGCACCTTTTGTCAACTTCCAATCATAATGCAACTTCTGCGTTGTTGTTGTCGTCTGGTGCAAGTTGGAAGAATGGAAACGATAAGTGGACGGTCGACAAATTAGATAATAAGGCAAATTGGTTTTTGCCATTCAAATACGCTAACAATTTAATTATCTGCTTTCTTTTTTTTCTTCCCGTCGACCATTATTCTCTTTTTCTGGCAGTTTTTATTCTGTATTAATTATTACATAAAACTGTAAGCCGCGCTTTTTTCTTTGCTGTTCTACGTGTGAGCATAGTAATTAAAATCAAAAAAAAAACGCTATCTTTGTTATCTGTTATTTATTACATTATATTTCTGTTTTATAAGAACATTAACACTTTGTTTTCTTTTGGTTGTTTGGTGTTATTCTTTTATTTTTTTTCCACTTTTTTTTGGCTAAATATGATAGTACTTTTTTTCCTTACTGTTTTCTTTAAATTAATCATTAGACAATAGTGCCAATTTGAAAAATGAAAGTAGAAAACGGCAACAGTGGCATAGAGAGCAACAGCAACTAAAAGGACATTTATTAGATGCAATTCTAAGAATGATTTAATACATTAGCCTATAGAATCTAATAAATTTTTAAAACAATACAGCAACTCACACCTAAGGTTCTTTTTCCTTTTTGCTAACGATTGGGATTACGACACTTTTATTGATACAGTTAAGTTGGAATGGAAGTTGATGAGTGATCAACCGTTGAGGCCAATATTGGCAGATATATAGGAAACTTCTGTGAGAAAGCTGCGACTATAGCTAGTGAAACTTTTGGGTAAAGTATTTAAGTGGTCTGTTCTTTTTTTTTTTTATCTGGTTTTTTTTATCGATACAAAATTTTGATTCCTAATGCTGTTTGTGATGTATTTTTTTCTATACTTTTTTCTTGAGTAGAAAAGAAGGAAAAAAAATGTTTATTTGAGTGACCAATTTATAGCAAATAGATGATCTTAGGATGCATTTTTGTTTAGGGCTTCAACAAGCTTAGCTTATAGAGTTGCCAAAACGCAACGGTGCAGGTGTTAGCTGATAGACTTAGTCTCTCAAAATATTCTTTTCTTTTGCATTTTTATCTATTTTTCTCTTTTTTCCTTATCTATAAAACTTGTTTTGTCGGTTTCTGTTTTTTTTCTCTTCTTTCTCCGCTATTTCATTTATCATCGTTCTGCTGTTTTTCACAGATCTTCTGGTGAAAACGATTTGAGGATATTTGCAAGAAACCACCATCAACGGCATCAAAAAAAGATGCCTACTTTTATTCTCTCGAAACTGCCGTATCTGACTTTTTTAATTTTAATATTAACTGATGTTTTTCTTTGCTGATTTACCTGATATTACTTCCCTACAGTACGTTAGTGACCAGCCACTTCACATTCAACTCACTTCAATTTCTGTTTATTTTATCTCATATTTCAAAGAACTTACTTTAAGTTGCAGAATTCTTGTACACCGCTTTTAGTAATTTCGGTTTATAGACTACCTTTTTATATCCTACTTCTTCTTGTAAGGCTGTTTCAACCCGGCAGCAATAATCTTATGTACTGATTTATCAGGTATTTGATGCATACTTAGTGTTTTTCAACTGCTATCCTGTGGTTTAAAAAACGGGCTGTTCAATGTTCTGAAAAAAGTTTTTTTCTTATTCTTATAACTGTTTTTCTTCCCAAACATGTATTTATTAATTTACTTATCAGCTTTTTTTTTTGTTTTATATCGTTTTGCATAATGAACCAGACAAATTTACCGTCACACTTAATATCCTGCTGCATTTTTTATTCTTATATTTGGTCTCCTTTTTTGCTAAAGAATTGTTTGACAACCAAAAAAAAAAACTTAATTAAACAGCAAAATTAATTAAATTGTTGAATTTATTTGGAAACAAAATTGCCTAATTTTTCATCTTTTCTGCTGAATTCTTCACTGAAAACTTAATCTTCACTAATTGACGAACGATGTCATGGCTGTGTTCTGCTTTTCAATGGACAAGCTGAGTGTACGACAAAAAAAAAGAGCTTTCTTACGAGTGTGTTTTCGTGTCTTTTTTCTTCTGCATATTCAGAGACTAAAAAGGGTACAGACTTATAATTTTCTTCTAAAAAACCACATTTTATTTTTGATTATGTTAAAAAGCCAGATGTTCGTTGTTGCTGATACTGCTTCAAATTAGGAGTTTTTAAAGCCTTTCACCTTATAGTGGTCGTCATTAACAGTTTTATTTGGATGATTCTAGAAAAAAAATGTTTTAACCCCCCCCCCCTCACAAAAAAAAAATGACTTTTTCAGCTACAGAATATTAACAACGCTAAACATTAATCGCTTCTCATTTTTTTTCTCAGACTTTGAACAGCATCTACAGTTATAACTCATCGGTTCTCTTGCCGCTGAGCAAGTGGAAGATGGTAAGAAAGTTTTGTGATAGAAAATTTTTGTTCGTTATCAAAAAATGTCAGCAGTAACAGCTGATGGGAACTGTGAAATGTTGTTCACTACATAAATCTAAATGATATATATATATATATATATA